TGTAAAATTCGAACTTTTACCCTCAGGGTCAAAATCTATTTATTTACGAAATGAACAATTTAAATAAAATTCAAATATTCTAATTTTATATCTTGTTCGTCTTGTATTAACGGATCGTAATATATTTTGACCCATTAATCATGTGTGTTTTGTGAAGGGCCTGGGGGTTTTGAGTTTTTTTTTGAGAAGATACAAGAGAGAGAGAGAGAGAGAAAAGAGAGTAAATGAAATTGGAATGCATGCAGACGAGACGAAGGAGATGACGAATTCCTACTGAACAAAGTCTGCAAGTTGTCTTCTAAGAGGGGGCTTCATATACATAAGAATTGAAAGAGGCTTTCAATGCGCAGGCACGGCATCTCCGTGCCCCCTATGATTAATATTTCGGCTTTCAATCAACTTGAAGATGCTAGAATATCCTCAATCAGCTTAGAGAGTTAGAAGACAATCTCTCTCTCTCTCTCTCTCTCTCTCTCTCTAGCTATTAACCTGACATGTTCTTTTAACTCTAAGCCAAACGCACCTGATAAGAGTAGGGCTGTTAAAGATTCCATTAGCTCGATATGAGCACCCGTTCAATTCAATTTTGATTCATTCAAATTTTCAAATACCAAAATTCTGATATTTTTTATACTCATTTTATGAACTCCAACCATGTGTGGGCTCTTATACTGATTATATTGCTACTAGTGACAAAGATGGGGTGACAAGAATGTAGAAGAGCTGGAGCAAGTTCTACGCTCGAATATTCGCAAGGTTCCGCCAATTTGAACTTAAACAAAAAATTGAGCTCAAAGTTAATCTTGACTTGAACTTGAGTTTTAAACAAATCAAGTATGAGCATACTCAAGTTAGGGAAACACTTAGTTTGTTGTTACCTTGAGTCGTCCCGTAGTTTAAGGTAGTGGGCATCGCTCACATGACCCTCTAAATGAAACTCATTCAAATATTCTTCTACAAATGTGACCACATAAATTCAAAGGCCTATAAATTTCTTGCACTATTCAGGTTGCACACAAGGACACCAAATGAATGTGAATGTGAGACAAAATTTAGAAACAAAGATGAAGTGTAATTAATGGGGTCCTCCAAACATTTATTCATTCACAATCTCTGAAACATCATTTAAGATATGCACGCAATATACAAGTTCAACATTACTGAATTTTTTTTCTTTCATCATCATTAACGTCTCATCTAAACCTTTTCTGTTTTATATGCCGGTAAAGATTCTCTTCGACAGCTAAGACTCCGGCAGTTTTCGGGGATCGTGACGTCCAATCGGATTCCGGAATGGGAATAGATTTCTTTGTCCTATTTCGATGTCATGTCCCTATCCTACCTTATAACTGTTAAAGGCTGGCTGTGTTAAGTGCATCTCCCTTCAATTTATTTTCCTCCCGTGTTATAAGGACATTTTCTACCATTCCCTCCAGAGCCAACAAATAAATGACAACATCGTCCTGTCACATTCATGAGCAATGCCTGTTTGAGAGTGTAAATTTTGAGGCCCTCCACAAACATATATGATATGGAATTATTAATACACGTTCTTTATTGTATATGTCTGTATAATATCACATGAACAAAATCATTATTGTTGGAAATTACTGTAATAATTCCTGTAGATTAGCAACTTTCTCCATATAGAAATGTAGGATGTGAAAGGAGTTGAGAACCACAAAGCAAAATCCGATTGAAGCTGATGGGGCAGGCCCAAGGGCCCAACCCATATTATAAGTTTGGTCTAAGCTAATGATTCAATCCCAATAGATCTAACAAGTCCAGTCCATACGAGGCCCAAACTCAATCAAGCCCATCAGGGAGTTACACCACCAAGTGAGCATCAAGAGTTTCACACTCATAGTTTGAAGAGAGTCAACCTCCCTCATCCATGACCAAGTCCTTGGAGAACACCATAACCTCCTTACTGGTTGAGGAAAGGAGAGGTCGAGGAAAGGAGAGGAGAAATCGTCAAGGAATTTAATTACTATTAAAAGGCTCCAATTATGATTGTTAGATTAACTATTCAATTACTACACTGGTGACTATAAATTATAAGCTCCCCCTACACTTGGGGGGCATCTCATAAAACTCAAGCTCATCTCCTCTCCCTCTTGTAATTCTTGCTCTCCCAACGCACCAGAGTCAATAAAATTCTCGACGAATCTAGCCATTGAAAGTGGACGTAACTTTCATTGGTCAAACCACTATAAATCTTGTCTTTTCTCTCCTTTTACTTACTATATTTTATATTGTTTAATTGACAAGTGGTGTGCAAATCGATTTTTTTCAACATCAAAAGCCATGTCAATTTCTTCAAGCACTGGTGGAGCCTCCTTAAGGATAGAGAATAGAAAAGAGTCCAAGCAAAGACTATCACAAATGAGAGATTTATGGGCAAAGATGGGTATCATATGACTCGCTCCATGTAAGTACTCTTAAGTCTCTCACCTTAAGTACAAAAAATAATGAGCTACCAAAGTGTTAAAAGAGAAATTTTCTTAACTCAGTGTTGATCTAATAATTTATATCAAGAGATTGTTTGTATCATGGTAACATGTTTCAGTCCCCTTATGAAACTTTCATTACTGTTAGATTTTTAGATCTAAATAACATTACACTTGTAATTAAACCATTAAGATGTGAGTAAAATCTAGTTGTCTTAGTTGATGTAAATCCAAAGTACGTTTATCCTAGCTAGGTTGTGTATATCATGGCTATCTATCTTGATATTTTAACTTGGAAAGCCTTTGAGCATATCATGAACTATGTTTGACGTCCAATTTATTTTTCCAATTCAAATCCGGTAGGAAAAATGGAATCTAAAAAATAAAATGAATAGTAAGGTGAGGCACTGATTAAGTCACTTTCTTAAGACGATTTGTACTCATTTATGAAAGAAATACAACGCAGAAGGTAACAATATGTCATTCTCAAGATACAACAGCTCAACTTATTGACTGTTGCTTAATTCAGATATGCACAATCGAATGAAATAAAAGTTTCACACGACACTTTTCATTATTGTCCAGAAACTTATATAATAGAGAAGAATATATATATGATATCCAAATAGTATATCACTATACTAAAATATATAAATCTATATAATAAAACACATAGTAACTTAAATTTTTATCCGCTACATATTTTTTCTCTTAAAAACGTCACATCACTCATTTCTATCACATATTTAATCAATTTTATATTTTCTCCCTAAACACATCACATCACTCATTTCTATCTCATGTTTAATCATTTAATATTTGATTAATTTGTAATTAATATAATTTTTATTTCAAACATATATGATAGTATGCACGTGTTAAAAAAATTTAATACAGTGAGATCGATTTTTTGGGTGTTTGAATTTTATATTTTATTATACCTTCAAACACTAGTTATAACTAATATATATACATAAAATATAGATGTTTAATATTCGATAATTACTCCTATAAAAAATAGTTGTTGAAAACTTAGCTGTTAGAACTTTTGGCATTCAATATAGGAGTTATTACAAAAAATAATTAAATAAAATATTAAAAAATGGATAGTTAATATTTTTTTCTAATTAGGCGAGCTAGAGTGATCCACAGCCCGAGTGTAGATTAGGCTAATCTACACATGTACGAGTCCTAAAATCTCACCTTAACTCAAAGGTTAGATAATCTAACCTTTGAGTTAGTCGATGTATAATTGAATTTTCACATAAAAAATATTTTTTTTTTTTTAAATATTCTAACAAATACCGTACGTGAAAACCACTGATTAGTCATCTAATTAAAAAAGAAGCAAACCAAATTGCTTCTTGGCCTTTCTGAGCAGACACTAGCCAGTGTCAGATCCTTCATGTTCCCTCTGTAAATTACTTCCTAGAGAGGTCCTTCTCGTTTCTGTGAAGATTTAACGAATGGAACAAACAATGGTTGGCCCATAATATATCTCTCTCTTACGCGCTCGCACACACACAGACATGACTCAAGGCACATGTTGTAAATGTGGCAAGCAAATGCTGATTTTGGTGTAAAATTGTACCCCTAATTGAGCCCTGAATGTCAACCTTGGTGCTATTTTCCATGGTGCAATGAGTATGTTAGAGGGAAAGATTTGAATGAAGCTCGTCTTTTGGTGATGGTGACTAGTGAGAAAGAAAGGTGGTTGGCAAAATGTGATCCAAAGCCTCTCTTTGGCCCAGTTCATAATTTGAGGAGCCTTCAACACCGGGGTCCAACAACCATTGATTTTGGATTCCAAGTTTTTTATCCAACAGTACCATTCTAATCAAAGAATTCCTTTTTATACATACAAATATATTTAATGCAATTCTTTAGAGTCAGATTATGAAGAGATTTATTCCTCATGAATATCTTAGTTCCGACATAGATGATCTATCTTTGACCGGACCGAAGAAGAGATTAGTCGAAATACTCGTAAATTAACCTGAACATCCCTCACACTCGAACACAAAAAAATATGTTTAAGGCTTGGCTGTTGACATGAAAACACAAATTCTAATCCAAGGACAGTCGCGTTCACTCAATTCATCCCTCTAAATACTAGAGGTTACTGGAGACCGAGTAAAAATGTTAGATCGAGTCAAAATTACTATTGCGGTTTGGTTTGATTTCTAAATGGGCTCTAAAATAGTGTTAAACCTTAGCTGATTTCTGTACTAGGATAGAACTCCCCTTGGACTCTATTCAAAGGAGCCATCTTTTTTATCTTGATGACCTAATACCTTTCTTTTTCCCACATTTTACTAAAAAGCAATCTGATCAAAGAAATAAGTTTCCATTGTATGCCATGAAAATTATCTTACCAGTTATAACACTTTTTTCTGCCATCCTATTTACATTTACCGTGATGTACCATGAAGTAAAATTGAAGAAAAGTATAATAAAAGAGATCTCTCTCCCTTCTAAAGTCACAGAAAGGCCCAATGTCCGTGTGCTTTTTATGCCATTTCAATCCCCTCAAATCTCTAAATAGTTGGACGAGAATCAATGAATTTCTAAACTGGTAATCAGGATAGATCAGCTAACCCAAAATTCACAGAAACATTTAAGCAGTATTAGAAGAGGTAAGTAACTAACAATTATCTTTGAAGATTGCCTAATACTGAGGAAACAATATACAAAGATCCGGTGACTACAATGATGCCTAATTGATCTCCTGGTCTAGCTCTCAGAATCTGATTTCCAATCTTCATGGATGACATTACTGAACTCTCGGCAGACAATATGGTTCTATGTACCAGTTCGCCCGCTGATTGAATAGATTGATTCTCGAGTATCTTGTCGCATTCAGCATCTCTGTAGTCAAGAATATCAACGCCCACTTCTCTGGAAGCTTGGATCCAGCAATCTTTTAACAATGAAGCTGAAGTTGTTCGAGACATGTCCCCAGCAATGCTAACTTGTGTCAGAAATACAGCCTCCAACTGTCTCACTGAAGGATAATGACAAATTTTTAATGAGAGCTTTCCAAAGACAAGCATGATAATTTCAATATTTTTTGGTTTTTTTTAGCTGGCCTGTAAGTTCACTAATTAAGACCGCTAATTTCAGGAGACAATGCAATGAGCCCTAAACCAGTTACAATGATAGAAGCACAATACGAATTCCCTTAATATTGCATGTCCTCCAAAAAAAGAATAATCATGGTCACGAGGCATGCACAAGCAAGAAAAGCCTCAACAAAACTTCCCAAAAATACTTCCTAATTTTAGCAGCACTTCAGTCTCTAAATTATTATTTTTACGATTTGCAAAAGTTGTATAATAGTAAGTCCCACCCAACCTCTATAATAGTAAGTCCCAATGGAAACTGAAAGAAGCTTCTATTTGTAGGCGAAGGAAAATCATATGAAACAAATGGCAAGCTTGACAAAGTGTATACCTGAAAGTAGCTCTTTCGCAAAAGCTAAATGATCTTTGTCGCTTGCCATTGCAACCACAAAAACCAATCTCGCCTCTGGAAATGTCATCTGAATTATGTCGGCTAAAGCTTTAGCAGATTCCTTGGTATGCGCTGAAAATGGCTATAGCAATATCACAATCTATCTTATATGAATAATGAGAGTAGCATAACAGCCATAAAAGTAACATGCCAAAATAGAAATGAGATCAGATTCACTCAGATTCAACATAAAGAGAAATAAATAGTTAGAATCAAATTTACTACCAAATTTTACAAATCATCTCTGACAATAATCTCGATAATAAAAGGTATCAACAGATGACACACAGAACAAACACAACTAACAAAGTGGACATCAGAATCAAACCTCCATCAAGCAGTAGAGTTGCTCCAGGTAGTCCTAGTGCCTCAGCTTCCTTAGATCCTAAAATTTGAGTTCTCCCCTGCAAAATTGTATTCTCTAAACCAGCACGAACAGATCCATCTGCAATTCTCCATCCTGAAAATATCCAGATAAGCATAAAGAGAATTAAGAGGCACTCTGATCTTGAAATCAGACCTTATACAACAAGATTAGTTTGAATTATCAATCAACTAGGAAAAAAATTCTGCTAGTAGCGTTCTCCCTGATTACCAAAATAGACGTGATTTCCATGAAGATAGGTCTCATTACATAGTACATTCTATCAGACCTCCATGGCCGGAGATCAAGCATAAGAAAAAGTTACTATCTAAACAAGCGTCATTTTTCATTACTGTTAACAGTAGACCAACTTTTTTTTTTTAGCAATTTAACGGTAGACAGACTAGATTCTATGTCATTCCCAATTTCCAACACAAGCAGGAACCACTAATGGGAAGCATCTATTATATTTGCTACATTGAAGAAAACTTCCAAGGCTGGTGAACTCTTAATCTTTGAAAATGAAAAGCTTTTGGTTCCACTTATAACAGTTCAATGCTACACGAAAATAGAAAGAACAAATAAAAGTCTCACCTTGATCACGAAGGCAGAGTGCTGCGCAAGTGGCGGTTGCAGCGTTTTGAAGTTGGTGTGTTCCAAGCATGCACAATTTCACATCAAACAACTCAATGAACTGCATGTTTAACATCAACTAGTTAACTTCATATCATGTTATCAAATATCAAACATATAGTGGATAAGAGAAAATCATTCCAGCATGGGTAAACATAAATCAAAAGTGCAGGAAAATGGACATCAAGATATTACACATGCATACCAATTGAAAGTCCCGCTCAATTTTGAGCACCATATCACAGGACTGGCAATGTTTTCCACGACATTCACTAATATCTTTTATGGTACTTCTATTTCCTGGATCAGATGCTGATACTACTGGTGAACACATAGCAGATGCCTTATCACGAAGAATGTGCTCAATATGTGGAAGAAATGGCCCACCCAGCACGAGCTGAAAATTTAATCACTAAAGAGTCAAGCTTAACAAGTCATCGGCATAAAAAGGACGATTGCAATCATGGTCCAGTGTACACAATCATAAATGCAAGGAAACATAGAAGCTAGTTATAGAAATTTACCATCGCAGAAATGAATGTAAAGGATCCAGTAGACTTGGTATTTGACAGAGATCATAGATCATGAAAAGGGCGTCACATACAAATGATAGTTGCTATGGGTGTCAAGCCAAAAATGCATGCATTATTCATTGCCATTGAACAGCTTCTACCACCCCCAAGTGCTGGTCAAGTAAATGAGGATGCTGATGGACTGAACTGATAAGTTTATTCACGAAAAAAATATTGATTTCAAAAGGCAAATCTTGCCAAACCAAAGGACCTTTTGATTGTGGCCAAGGATTGTAGTATTTTGAATTTGGACTAACAGAATTTAACGATGTTTGTCTTGTAAGAAGAACNTTATAAAACTCAAGCTCATCTCCTCTCCCTCTTGTAATTCTTGCTCTCCCAACGCACCAGAGTCAATAAAATTCTCGACGAATCTAGCCATTGAAAGTGGACGTAACTTTCATTGGTCAAACCACTATAAATCTTGTCTTTTCTCTCCCTTTACTTACTATATTTTATATTGTTTAATTGACAAGTGGTGTGCAAATCGATTTTTTTCAACATCAAAAGCCATGTCAATTTCTTCAAGCACTGGTGGAGCCTCCTTAAGGATAGAGAATAGAAAAGAGTCCAAGCAAAGACTATCACAAATGAGAGATTTATGGGCAAAGATGGGTATCATATGACTCGCTCCATGTAAGTACTCTTAAGTCTCTCACCTTAAGTACAAAAAATAATGAGCTACCAAAGTGTTAAAAGAGAAATTTTCTTAACTCAGTGTTGATCTAATAATTTATATCAAGAGATTGTTTGTATCATGGTAACATGTTTCAGTCCCCTTATGAAACTTTCATTACTGTTAGATTTTTAGATCTAAATAACATTACACTTGTAATTAAACCATTAAGATGTGAGTAAAATCTAGTTGTCTTAGTTGATGTAAATCCAAAGTACGTTTATCCTAGCTAGGTTGTGTATATCATGGCTATCTATCTTGATATTTTAACTTGGAAAGCCTTTGAGCATATCATGAACTATGTTTGACGTCCAATTTATTTTTCCAATTCAAATCCGGTAGGAAAAATGGAATCTAAAAAATAAAATGAATAGTAAGGTGAGGCACTGATTAAGTCACTCTCTTAAGACGATTCGTACTTNAAAAATGGAATCTAAAAAATAAAATGAATAGTAAGGTGAGGCACTGATTAAGTCACTTTCTTAAGACGATTTGTACTCATTTATGAAAGAAATACAACGCAGAAGGTAACAATATGTCATTCTCAAGATACAACAGCTCAACTTATTGACTGTTGCTTAATTCAGATATGCACAATCGAATGAAATAAAAGTTTCACACGACACTTTTCATTATTGTCCAGAAACTTATATAATAGAGAAGAATATATATATGATATCCAAATAGTATATCACTATACTAAAATATATAAATCTATATAATAAAACACATAGTAACTTAAATTTTTATCCGCTACATATTTTTTCTCTTAAAAACGTCACATCACTCATTTCTATCACATATTTAATCAATTTTATATTTTCTCCCTAAACACATCACATCACTCATTTCTATCTCATGTTTAATCATTTAATATTTGATTAATTTGTAATTAATATAATTTTTATTTCAAACATATATGATAGTATGCACGTGTTAAAAAAATTTAATACAGTGAGATCGATTTTTTGGGTGTTTGAATTTTATATTTTATTATACCTTCAAACACTAGTTATAACTAATATATATACATAAAATATAGATGTTTAATATTCGATAATTACTCCTATAAAAAATAGTTGTTGAAAACTTAGCTGTTAGAACTTTTGGCATTCAATATAGGAGTTATTACAAAAAATAATTAAATAAAATATTAAAAAATGGATAGTTAATATTTTTTTCTAATTAGGCGAGCTAGAGTGATCCACAGCCCGAGTGTAGATTAGGCTAATCTACACATGTACGAGTCCTAAAATCTCACCTTAACTCAAAGGTTAGATAATCTAACCTTTGAGTTAGTCGATGTATAATTGAATTTTCACATAAAAAATATTTTTTTTTTTTTAAATATTCTAACAAATACCGTACGTGAAAACCACTGATTAGTCATCTAATTAAAAAAGAAGCAAACCAAATTGCTTCTTGGCCTTTCTGAGCAGACACTAGCCAGTGTCAGATCCTTCATGTTCCCTCTGTAAATTACTTCCTAGAGAGGTCCTTCTCATTTCTGTGAAGATTTAACGAATGGAACAAACAATGGTTGGCCCATAATATATCTCTCTCTTACGCGCTCGCACACACACAGACATGACTCAAGGCACATGTTGTAAATGTGGCAAGCAAATGCTGATTTTGGTGTAAAATTGTACCCCTAATTGAGCCCTGAATGTCAACCTTGGTGCTATTTTCCATGGTGCAATGAGTATGTTAGAGGGAAAGATTTGAATGAAGCTCGTCTTTTGGTGATGGTGACTAGTGAGAAAGAAAGGTCGTTGGCAAAATGTGATCCAAAGCCTCTCTTTGGCCCAGTTCATAATTTGAGGAGCCTTCAACACCGGGGTCCAACAACCATTGATTTTGGATTCCAAGTTTTTTATCCAACAGTACCATTCTAATCAAAGAATTCCTTTTTATACATACAAATATATTTAACGCAATTCTTTAGAGTCAGATTATGAAGAGATTTATTCCTCATAAATATCTTAGTCCCGACATAGATGATCTATCTTTGACCGGACCGAAGAAGAGATTAGTCGAAATACTCGTAAATTAACCTGAACATCCCTCACACTCGAACACAAAAAAATATGTTTAAGGCTTGGCTGTTGACATGAAAACACAAATTCTAATCCAAGGACAGTCGCGTTCACTCAATTCATCCCTCTAAATACTAGAGGTTACTGGAGACCGAGTAAAAATGTTAGATCGAGTCAAAATTACTATTGCGGTTTGGTTTGATTTCTAAATGGGCTCTAAAATAGTGTTAAACCTTAGCTGATTTCTGTACTAGGATAGAACTCCCCTTGGACTCTATTCAAAGGAGCCATCTTTTTTATCTTGATGACCTAATACCTTTCTTTTTCCCACATTTTACTAAAAAGCAATCTGATCAAAGAAATAAGTTTCCATTGTATGCCATGAAAATTATCTTACCAGTTATAACACTTTTTTCTGCCATCCTATTTACATTTACCGTGATGTACCATGAAGTAAAATTGAAGAAAAGTATAATAAAAGAGATCTCTCTCCCTTCTAAAGTCACAGAAAGGCCCAATGTCCGTGTGCTTTTTATGCCATTTCAATCCCCTCAAATCTCTAAATAGTTGGACGAGAATCAATGAATTTCTAAACTGGTAATCAGGATAGATCAGCTAACCCAAAATTCACAGAAACATTTAAGCAGTATTAGAAGAGGTAAGTAACTAACAATTATCTTTGAAGATTGCCTAATACTGAGGAAACAATATACAAAGATCCGGTGACTACAATGATGCCTAATTGATCTCCTGGTCTAGCTCTCAGAATCTGATTTCCAATCTTCATGGATGACATTACTGAACTCTCGGCAGACAATATGGTTCTATGTACCAGTTCGCCCGCTGATTGAATAGATTGATTCTCGAGTATCTTGTCGCATTCAGCATCTCTGTAGTCAAGAATATCAACGCCCACTTCTCTGGAAGCTTGGATCCAGCAATCTTTTAACAATGAAGCTGAAGTTGTTCGAGACATGTCCCCAGCAATGCTAACTTGTGTCAGAAATACAGCCTCCAACTGTCTCACTGAAGGATAATGACAAATTTTTAATGAGAGCTTTCCAAAGACAAGCATGATAATTTCAATATTTTTTGGTTTTTTTTAGCTGGCCTGTAAGTTCACTAATTAAGACCGCTAATTTCAGGAGACAATGCAATGAGCCCTAAACCAGTTACAATGATAGAAGCACAATACGAATTCCCTTAATATTGCATGTCCTCCAAAAAAAGAATAATCATGGTCACGAGGCATGCACAAGCAAGAAAAGCCTCAACAAAACTTCCCAAAAATACTTCCTAATTTTAGCAGCACTTCAGTCTCTAAATTATTATTTTTACGATTTGCAAAAGTTGTATAATAGTAAGTCCCACCCAACCTCTATAATAGTAAGTCCCAATGGAAACTGAAAGAAGCTTCTATTTGTAGGCGAAGGAAAATCATATGAAACAAATGGCAAGCTTGACAAAGTGTATACCTGAAAGTAGCTCTTTCGCAAAAGCTAAATGATCTTTGTCGCTTGCCATTGCAACCACAAAAACCAATCTCGCCTCTGGAAATGTCATCTGAATTATGTCGGCTAAAGCTTTAGCAGATTCCTTGGTATGCGCTGAAAATGGCTATAGCAATATCACAATCTATCTTATATGAATAATGAGAGTAGCATAACAGCCATAAAAGTAACATGCCAAAATAGAAATGAGATCAGATTCACTCAGATTCAACATAAAGAGAAATAAATAGTTAGAATCAAATTTACTACCAAATTTTACAAATCATCTCTGACAATAATCTCGATAATAAAAGGTATCAACAGATGACACACAGAACAAACACAACTAACAAAGTGGACATCAGAATCAAACCTCCATCAAGCAGTAGAGTTGCTCCAGGTAGTCCTAGTGCCTCAGCTTCCTTAGATCCTAAAATTTGAGTTCTCCCCTGCAAAATTGTATTCTCTAAACCAGCACGAACAGATCCATCTGCAATTCTCCATCCTGAAAATATCCAGATAAGCATAAAGAGAATTAAGAGGCACTCTGATCTTGAAATCAGACCTTATACAACAAGATTAGTTTGAATTATCAATCAACTAGGAAAAAAATTCTGCTAGTAGCGTTCTCCCTGATTACCAAAATAGACGTGATTTCCATGAAGATAGGTCTCATTACATAGTACATTCTATCAGACCTCCATGGCCGGAGATCAAGCATAAGAAAAAGTTACTATCTAAACAAGCGTCATTTTTCATTACTGTTAACAGTAGACCAACTTTTTTTTTTTAGCAATTTAACGGTAGACAGACTAGATTCTATGTCATTCCCAATTTCCAACACAAGCAGGAACCACTAATGGGAAGCATCTATTATATTTGCTACATTGAAGAAAACTTCCAAGGCTGGTGAACTCTTAATCTTTGAAAATGAAAAGCTTTTGGTTCCACTTATAACAGTTCAATGCTACACGAAAATAGAAAGAACAAATAAAAGTCTCACCTTGATCACGAAGGCAGAGTGCTGCGCAAGTGGCGGTTGCAGCGTTTTGAAGTTGGTGTGTTCCAAGCATGCACAATTTCACATCAAACAACTCAATGAACTGCATGTTTAACATCAACTAGTTAACTTCATATCATGTTATCAAATATCAAACATATAGTGGATAAGAGAAAATCATTCCAGCATGGGTAAACATAAATCAAAAGTGCAGGAAAATGGACATCAAGATATTACACATGCATACCAATTGAAAGTCCCGCTCAATTTTGAGCACCATATCACAGGACTGGCAATGTTTTCCACGACATTCACTAATATCTTTTATGGTACTTCTATTTCCTGGATCAGATGCTGATACTACTGGTGAACACATAGCAGATGCCTTATCACGAAGAATGTGCTCAATATGTGGAAGAAATGGCCCACCCAGCACGAGCTGAAAATTTAATCACTAAAGAGTCAAGCTTAACAAGTCATCGGCATAAAAAGGACGATTGCAATCATGGTCCAGTGTACACAATCATAAATGCAAGGAAACATAGAAGCTAGTTATAGAAATTTACCATCGCAGAAATGAATGTAAAGGATCCAGTAGACTTGGTATTTGACAGAGATCATAGATCATGAAAAGGGCGTCACATACAAATGATAGTTGCTATGGGTGTCAAGCCAAAAATGCATGCATTATTCATTGCCATTGAACAGCTTCTACCACCCCCAAGTGCTGGTCAAGTAAATGAGGATGCTGATGGACTGAACTGATAAGTTTATTCACGAAAAAAATATTGATTTCAAAAGGCAAATCTTGCCAAACCAAAGGACCTTTTGATTGTGGCCAAGGATTGTAGTATTTTGAATTTGGACTAACAGAATTTAACGATGTTTGTCTTGTAAGAAGAACCGATGGCAGGCAGTAGTTTTCAAGATGCAATGGAAAGAAATGCAAAAACTGCTAGAGTCATTAATCAGTGTTTGCTGATAACAAGAAGGATATCAGTAAAAGAACAGAAGCTAAAATTTGGAGAAAGATTTCTTGAATTTTTGCCTCTCGCCATTTTTCCCTTCACAATTGAGAAAGAATTATCTTCACATTTTACCACCCCTATCTCACCATCAGGGCCATCACAAACAAGTTTTGCTACCTATCCCTTATATTATACCATCACCACCATCAGTTTTAAACCGACCTAAATTCACCAGACCCAAGCACTTTAAGGACTAGCCCTTTGCCATGATTGGTATTTTTGTCCAGTCTGATTTGAGAGAGAAAACATAAATTGGGGTTAGAACCATGTGCATTGCTTATGCCACTCTCTAGTATCAATTGGAACTATAATACATGCATAAGAGAGAAGTCATAACACAAACTTGCAACAGAAATGTGTAGTGGCAGAACCACTAACTGGGCGCCCATGTTTGATTATTCCTGCTTTTGCCATGGCGATACTTTCCAAAGAACCCCCAAGTGCAGCCAGATGTTCCTCACCAATTGTTGTTATGACCGCAGCTGCGAGCCCAGAACTAGAAATAACATTCGTTGCGTCTCGTGCCCCGCCCAACCCAGCCTATTCAATGAGAAAAAAGACAATATTAAAGGAAGTACCAAATGTCTACCGCTCTTCATAGTTTTGAAAACGAAAACAACAGAACTTCTGGTGAGCAGATCTTAAAGATTTAGGGTTCAGTTAGTACAAAGAACCTGTCCTCCTCTCCTTTGGTCTGGTTGAGCAACAAGGTAAGGAGGAACGAGGAATGAAGAAATGGAGGAAAGGGAAATGGTTCGACTTTCCTCGACGGAAAGTGCTTCCCACTCTCCGCTTGCTCCCAGTCTACGACTACTATTTAAGCTTTTTTGATTTGTTGGGTGAACAACAACATGAAAGATATCATCCAGAACAGTCACATGAAAAAGTAAAGTAGCTCTACAGAAGTAGTTAAGGGAAAGCAGACAAACTTCAATAATTGCGATATCAACGTTCTCCTGAGCAAACAGGCTGAATGCTGTAGCGGTAAAAACCTGAAATTTTCAATTTTTTTGAGAGCAACAAAATCAGTGAACAGAATCAATAATAAAAGCCAAGACCAGAATACATCAACATCATCCACCTAAATAGCAAAGTAAAACTATGACGTGTACAAGTTTAGACTGTGACAAACAGACAAAGTATCACTAAAAGCCAAGGCCACTTCCTAATTTTGGATGCCGAAATAGGTGGACTTGGGCATAGACTTAATCTTTGTATAATCTACAAAAAGTAGCTACCCTTGTATGTGAATTAGCAACTCCAGGGTTTGCAAACCATGCTTTTACAATTCCACTAATGGATACCACTCATCTAACCCCCGCCCCCCAAAAAAAAAAAGCCAAAAGAACATAATACCAAAATCTACGATAAATTTTCATGTCTGACCACATTGCAATCAAATGATTTTCAAAAAATAAAAATGTAAGGAACTGCAAACATTGCACGCCCATTAGATCAATACACTACACGAAGACTTTGGAGAACTCAGAATAGCCCCATCTGCTTCATTAGATGAACAAAAATACACTTGATTACTATGTTTTTTGCAGCCCACCCTTTTTTAATTCTACTTCTGCTATCTCTAAAATCCAGTATAAATTATCAAGTAGGATTGCAATACTTGACGCGATACACAATATAGTACCTCAAAATGACTAAGACGCCCATCTTCAAGTTCCACCGCCTGGTCAAGAATCATTTTAATCCTTTGGAAAAGGCAACTCAATGCCTTAGCTGACACTGGCTCACCTAAATTTCCCAATGAAATGCGTTCCCGGATGGTTCGAATATGTGGACTGTTCAACAAATATGAAACATGGGGTCAAGAAGAGAGCGAGAAAAGAAATCATCCTTGAAGTAAAAACAGCTGAACATTTTTGTATCTGACGAGAATTATTTTTGAATGATTAAATTAAGTTACAACAGTAACCAGATTTAATACCTAGTATAGCAACCAACGGAATACCCTTCTGCACGTAGAATATTGGATAGAAAGGCAGCAGTTGATCCTTTGCCTTTGGTCCCAGCAATGTGAACAGCCTATTGATGTGGATCTTGTTAAAATGCTTATTCCAGATTGAGCAGAATTATGTAGCAAATAAATGTTCTTGAAGATACTGATCAAATACTAGCACCAAGCAAGTCTAAAACTACTCAATACCAGGGTAATGGAAGTGAACAACATATTGGTAGTGACTAGTTATAACCTTAGCAAAAAGGGTCCCTATCAATTAGTGATTGATGCTTTTGAATTCTGAAGACAAACTTAATTTTTACGGAACCCAATTTCTCCACAGAACCAGAAAACATAGCAGCATTACTCTTTAGAATTCTAACTGCCTCTTCCTACATTTCTTTNAACCAGAAAACATAGCAGCATTACTCTTTAGAATTCTAACTGCCTCTTCCTACATTTTCTCAGCAATCCTGAANAGAAAACATAGCAGCATTACTCTTTAGAATTCTAACTGCCTCTTCCTACATTTCTTTATGAAAGACGAGACAAATAGGACCTAGCATTTCTTTATCTAAAACTAAAACAAAGAAACTACAAATTTAGCCTATACTAATGCTGCAATGCCGTTTTCCTTGATTGAGGTTAGGATTTTCACCAGAAAAACCATAAAACTACGATTCCGATTTCATCTTTTCTTTTCTTTTCTTTGTATCTCCCACATTTCCTCAGGAACCAAACGAGAGTTAATCAAAGAGTGCACTGTCAAAAAAGAACAAACCTTGAACTTGGATTGAGGGTTACCAAGCAGTTCCATCAACCGTCTCATTCTTCCCAGGTCAAAACCATCCTCTGAATCAGTTCCTGCGGCTTTGGGAACACCTGACTTCTCATAGTTCTTGAGATTGTCCATGTAGTCCGTGAACTCCTTCAGTTCTGGGTCTTCCGACAATCCAGAAAAGCCTCTGACAAACTCAAAGTTGTTCATTAATCTAGCCGTTGAAGAAGCGAGGGTTTTTCTGCTGGTGAGGGAAGTAAATCGACTGAAAACCCCGCAATTTTTCATTTCCCTGCACTACCTCGTACTGGTATCGGTTGTAGGAAGTCAATAGAAGACAATCCATATAATTGCTTCCTAGAATCCTAGAACATATATCTCAAGTTTGGATCCGATTCGCCACCCGAATTTTTTATTCACGGTTTCTTCCCCTTTCTTTTTGGGACCATCACACTTACATTGATAGTATCATTCATAAGATTGTAAAAAAACTTATAACAAGTTTGCATGATTACACTTGTATGTATTAAGAAAAATAAACTTTAGAGTTTTTTTTTTTAAAAGTAGTATACATCGTAGGTTGTAAGTAAATATTAAATATTACCATCCAATAACAAGTCTATAAATAGATAATATAAATTTTAACTTTTTTATATAGAGTGATTATTTTTTATACGAATATGTAATTACTAAATTAAGTGAAATTCACCAACTTACATGTTGGTATTAAGCAAGATTTAATTTACGGAGAGTAACACGATTTGTTGCTTGACTTTGATAGTATCATAAAAACAAAAAAAAGACTCTCATAGTCAGGATCTACTACCAAAGTACGGTTCTTTTAGAATTTTATTACCAAAATATAGTAGTTTTTAACTTATTTATCAATTTACTGTATTTTTTAAAAATAGAATCAAGAAGTTCAATTTCATTTGAAAGCGAAATTACTAAGTACGACTTTACCTTGAAAGCATATTTCTTAAAGCCGCTTTTTAGGTGAATGATCTATGTTTTATCGTAGAAACCGGATTTATTATATCTGTTTTAACAAATGAAGCGAATATAATAAATTCGCTACCAAGGTTAGTGTTTGAAGAAAAAACTTGTATCTGAAGTGGATTTTGAGTGATTTCGTGAGAAAATGTTGTTAATTTTGTGAATTGGGTTGTCCTATTTTGGGTGAAAACATGGGTGTTACAAATTCAAAAGCGGAGATNTTTAATTTACGGAGAGTAACACGATTTGTTGCTTGACTTTGATAGTATCATAAAAACAAAAAAAAGACTCTCATAGTCAGGATCTATTACCAAAGTACGGTTCTTTTAGAATTTTATTACCAAAATATAGTAGTTTTTAACTTATTTATTAATTTACTGTATTTTTTAAAAATAGAATCAAGAAGTTCAATTTCATTTGAAAGCGAAATTACTAAGTACGACTTTACCTTGAAAGCATATTTCTTAAAGCCGCTTTTTAGGTGAATGATCTATGTTTTATCGTAGAAACCGGATTTATTATATCTGTTTTAACAAATGAAGCGAATATAATAAATTCGCTACCAAGGTTAGTGTTTGAAGAAAAAACTTGTATCTGAAGTGGATTTTGAGTGATTTCGTGAGAAAAATGTTGTTAATTTTGTGAATTGGGTTGTCCTATTTTGGGTGAAAACATGGGTGTTACAAATTCAAAAGCGGAGAGNTACTAAATTAAGTGAAATTCACCAACTTACATGTTGGTATTAAGCAAGATTTAATTTACGGAGAGTAACACGATTTGTTGCTTGACTTTGATAGTATCATAAAAACAAAAAAAAAGACTCTCATAGTCAGGATCTACTACCAAAGTACGGTTCTTTTAGAACTTTATTACCAAAATATAGTAGTTTTTAACTTATTTATCAATTTACTGTATTTTTTAAAAATAGAATCAAGAAGTTCAATTTCATTTGAAAGCGAAATTACTAAGTACGACTTTACCTTGAAAGCATATTTCTTAAAGCCGCTTTTTAGGTGAATGATCTATGTTTTATCGTAGAAACCGGATTTATTATATCTGTTTTAACAAATGAAGCGAATATAATAAATTCGCTACCAAGGTTAGTGTTTGAAGAAAAAACTTGTATCTGAAGTGGATTTTGAGTGATTTCGTGAGAAAATGTTGTTAATTTTGTGAATTGGGTTGTCCTATTTTGGGTGAAAACATGGGTGTTACAAATTCAAAAGCGGAGATGAGTGAAGCCTTGAGACTCTGCAGAGAGAGAGAGAGATATCAAAGCCACCATTGATTAGTGGTTGCTCATGTTGCTTATGTTCAATCTCTTAGAAACATTGGTGTTGCTCTTCGTCAATTTGCTGGGCTAAAGTGTTGACAGAGTCTTCCCTCTCCATTTCCGCCATTGAAAATTGACAAAACCCCTTCACACTCTTCCTATCCGTCATCGTCCTCGCCACACATTGCTGGCGTTCCAGACTCTCCGGTGCTCAGTGGAAGCCCCTTTTCACCATCTATGACTAGATTGAGCAACATGAGGTCAGGATGGACTAGTGTTGTGACTTTTAGTGTTAATCCAAGTAGAAATGTTTATGTGGATGACATTGATTCCATGGCATTTCCAATGCTGCCACCACCCCCCACCTCCTGAGTCAGGGCCCTCTTCAGATTTCTTCTTGACCCCACTGATGATTCTGAGTTCAAATGCCAGAGAGAAGAGAGGAGAGAGAGGGAAAACTTCTGAAATAAGAAGAATGGGGGCCCGGTGAAATATGCACATAAAAGTGGATTTATTATATCCGCTTTAACAAATTAGAGCGGATATAATAAATTCGCTTTTTTAGGTAAAACACATTTGATTATTCATCTAAAAAACAGATTCAAGAAATACGTTTTTAAGGTAAAATCGTATTTAGTATTTCCACTTTCAAATGAAGTCGGACTTCTTAATTATGCTTTTAAAAAGTGTCATATATTGGTAAATAAGTTAAAAATTATTGTATTTTGCTAATAAAATTATAAAAGAACCGTACTTTGGTAATAGATCCCTCATAGTCACATACCTAGTGGTCGCCCTGCGCCTCTTTTCATGCCTAGAAAGGGTGGGAGGGAGGAGGGGGAAGTTGTTATCAGCTAAGAGTATCTCCAAGAGGCTGGCTAAACCTTCCTCCTTAGCTATTTTAGATAATTTTTTCCTAAAATCTGGCTCCAACAGACTCATTATCCCATTATTATTTTTCGTAGCCTCCATTTCACTCACTGCCTGTAGTTAGCCCTCTTCTCCCTCGCTGGCGCCAAGGTCTTTCTCCACTATCTCTCTCCCTATCTCACTGAAGCTCCAAAGCATATATTATTAGTTTATTTTTTGGGTAAATTTTTTTCATGTGTTGGTATGCTTGTTGTGGATTTTGTCTTCATCGTCTTCATCGTTTGAATCAGTCCACTGAAAGCTTCATCGTTTTCATCCCTCTTGACATCTGGCTGCATCGCAGAAGGTAAAAATCTCAAATCGTGGAAGGCACAAATCTCAAATCACAGAAGGTACCTAAGATATGATTGAGCTTCATTGTCTTCATCCTTCTTCAATGTCGAACACAAAGTATTTGGGGATTTTTACCATATGGATTTTACCATTTGTATTATCGCTGAGCTTTGTATGAGAAAATGAAAAACTGAGGTAGTAAAAAAATCTAATAAAACTCTCTTAAAAATTAAGTAAAACCTCTAAAAAATTCAAAAAACTCCTCCCAAATCCAACAAAATTTCCTAAGTATTTTATGATATTTACTCTTGTAACTTATCTTTTATGATATTTAATCTTGTGGCCCATAATTGATTAAATTTATATAATATATAATTGAATTGTTATTCTTTGAATTTTATTATTGAAAATTAGTTAAAGATAGTTGAAGTGGTTAGCTAAAATAGATAGCGTTATTGGAGTGAATTTNTTATTGAAAATTAGTTAAAGATAGTTGAAGTGGTTAGCTAAAATAGATAGCGTTATTCAAGTGAATTTANTTTGGTAATAGATCCCTCATAGTCACATACCTAGTGGTCGCCCTGCGCCTCTTTTCATGCCTAGAAAGGGTGGGAGGGAGGAGGGGGAAGTTGTTATCAGCTAAGAGTATCTCCAAGAGGCTGGCTAAACCTTCCTCCTTAGCTATTTTAGATAATTTTTTCCTAAAATCTGGCTCCAACAGACTCATTATCCCATTATTATTTTTCGTAGCCTCCATTTCACTCACTGCCTGTAGCTAGCCCTCTTCTCCCTCGCTGGCGCCAAGGTCTTTCTCCACTATCTCTCTCTCTATCTCACTGAAGCTCCAAAGCATATATTATTGGTTTATTTTTTGGGTAATTTTTTTTCATGTGTTGGTATGCTTGTTGTGGATTTTGTCTTCANCTTTCACCATCTATGACTAGATTGAGCAACATGAGGTCAGGATGGACTAGTGTTGTGACTTTTAGTGTTAATCCAAGTAGAAATGTTTATGTGGATGACATTGATTCCATGGCATTTCCAATGCTGCCACCACCCCCCACCTCCTGAGTCAGGGCCCTCTTCAGATTTCTTCTTGACCCCACTGATGATTCTGAGTTCAAATGCCAGAGAGAAGAGAGGAGAGAGAGGGAAAACTTCTGAAATAAGAAGAATGGGGGCCCGGTGAAATATGCACATAAAAGTGGATTTATTATATCCGCTTTAACAAATTAGAGCGGATATAATAAATTCGCTTTTTTATGGTAAAACACATTTGATTATTCATCTAAAAAACAGATTCAAGAAATACGTTTTTAAGGTAAAATCGTATTTAGTATTTCCACTTTCAAATGAAGTCGGACTTCTTAATTATGCTTTTAAAAAGTGTCATATATTGGTAAATAAGTTAAAAATTATTGTATTTTGCTAATAAAATTATAAAAGAACCGTACTTTGGTAATAGATCCCTCATAGTCACATACCTAGTGGTCGCCCTGCGCCTCTTTTCATGCCTAGAAAGGGTGGGAGGGAGGAGGGGGAAGTTGTTATCAGCTAAGAGTATCTCCAAGAGGCTGGCTAAACCTTCCTCCTTAGCTATTTTAGATAATTTTTTCCTAAAATCTGGCTCCAACAGACTCATTATCCCATTATTATTTTTCGTAGCCTCCATTTCACTCACTGCCTGTAGCTAGCCCTCTTCTCCCTCGCTGGCGCCAAGGTCTTTCTCCACTATCTCTCTCTCTATCTCACTGAAGCTCCAAAGCATATATTATTAGTTTATTTTTTGGGTAAATTTTTTTCATGTGTTGGTATGCTTGTTGTGGATTTTGTCTTCATCGTCTTCATCGTTTGAATCAGTCCACTGAAAGCTTCATCGTTTTCATCCCTCTTGACATCTGGCTGCATCGCAGAAGGTAAAAATCTCAAATCGTGGAAGGCACAAATCTCAAATCACAGAAGGTACCTAAGATATGATTGAGCTTCATTGTCTTCATCCTTCTTCAATGTCGAACACAAAGTATTTGGGGATTTTTACCATATGGATTTTACCATTTGTATTATCGCTGAGCTTTGTATGAGAAAATGAAAAACTGAGGTAGTAAAAAAATCTAATAAAACTCTCTTAAAAATTAAGTAAAACCTCTAAAAAATTCAAAAAACTCCTCCCAAATCCAACAAAATTTCCTAAGTATTTTATGATATTTACTCTTGTAACTTATCTTTTATGATATTTAATCTTGTGGCCCATAATTGATTAAATTTATATAATATATAATTGAATTGTTATTCTTTGAATTTTATTATTGAAAATTAGTTAAAGATAGTTGAAGTGGTTAGCTAAAATAGATAGCGTTATTGGAGTGAATTTAAAAAAATGAATATCTAAAATAAATAATAAAATATTTAAATATATTTTGAATAACTATTTTAGATAGTATTATTAAAAATGCTATAAACTACTTTAACCGAAGATAAAAAACACAATGAGATCATTTAACAGAGATGGTTACGTTATGTATTGATTTTGGGTCATTGTCAAACCCGGAGAGGACCCGAGTCCGCTTACGCGCCGCTTCGACGCACTGCAGGCGTTACAGTATCTTCTTTGGTCTCTAAACACCCACACACTTCTCTTAGAAGCCATGGTTGTTAGGGTCTTTACTCTCTAAACCTGAGAGAGAGAGAGAGGAGATAGAGAGAGCCCCTACATACAAATTCGTTGCATGTCGCTGCATTCTTTTTGTAAGTTCTTTTAATTCCCCAGGATTTTACTGTATGTTCCTTTTTTGTGTGTTTTGATTCTTCTCTTCGGTTGCGGAGAAATCATGGACCAAAAAGAAATTCAGTGTCATGAAGCTAGGGTTTTTCAGAAAGATTTATGTTTCTTTGTCTCTTCGTTTTCCCCTTCCTCTACGTCAAACGTTTAAATTATTATATTTTTTAGAATTTGAATTCCAAGTTGTTTTAGTTTGACTGAATTTTTGAAATTGTGGTTCAAGGAGTCAAAATGGCGACTCGAATGGGTTTCCAGGACACCAGATTGTTTGAGTTTTCACTTATTTGAGAGTTAAATTATGGAGTTAGACAAGCATCAGTCGAAGGTTGGTAAGCGAATGAATATGGAAGAGGAATACAAAGAAACGTCGCATAATGAGGTTGGTTCGGGGAGAGAATTTGAAGATGGTAGAAGTCGGTGTTTAGAGTTTGAAGAGAGGAGTAAGAGGGCTGAAGAAAGGGGTGCTGTGTTGGAATTGGAGATTGCGAATAGCTTCAGTGACTTTGAATTGCTCGAGGGTAAGTACGTAGCATTGGAAGTTGAAAAACTTGCAATTGAAGATGAGCTTAGGGTTTTGAAGCAGAAGAATGCTGAACTCGAAGTGCAGATACTAAAGATTGACATTGGTAACGATGTTGGCAGTGAGGGAGAGAGAAGGATGGAAACGATAGTTGATTTGACAGAGGATAATGACGAGGAAGATAAGATTTTGCAGTTGATGATTGAGAATAAGGTTTTGGACTGTGAGAAGAGAAAGGCTGAAAGAGATGTTGACATTTGGATGATGAAGTGTAAAGAACTGGAGTTGCGAGTGTTAGGGTTGGAGGAGAGTTTGGCATTAAGAAGTGGGGAATGTGCATCGACTAGAATGATGAAACCAGTATTGGAGTCAACAGAGATGGGTGCAGAAGCGATGAGTGAACCAAGAGGTTTAAACGGTGGAATGGATGTTGCTTCTAGCTTAGGAAATTCGCAACTGGCAAATAAGATAGCAACTAGAGATGAAATAATACATGGTGCAACTGGTGCAGGCTCAACTTGCTATCCCTCTGCCAAAGAAATTGCAGTTCTGAAAGCCTCAGGTATTCTATAGCTTACCACTTTTGCATAGTTTGAATAACTTACTGTTCTTTACTGGAAATGGCACATTTGTATAGTAGCTTGTACTATAGTACTCATAAGTATGGTCGTCTGATTCTTCCTTCTAGTTTATGCAAGACGTCAAATGGTATAAAGCTATTGCTGCTGATGCATAGATTGGGTTTCTCTATACTATGATACTTCTACTANAAGTATGGTCGTCTGATTCTTCCTTCTAGTTTATGCAAGACGTCAAATGGTATAAAGTTATTGCTGCTGATGCATAGATTGGGTTTCTCTATACTATGATACTTCTACTAATATGCACTTGGAAAATCTACCAGTGGTTGATATCAACCCTACTATAATTTGTGTTTATTTGATTTGACATTTTGATTGCCAAAGCGGTTGCTTTGCTTGGTTGACTGAGACTTGTTTTCTTATTATCTATCAGAAAAAAAATTGTTTTAGGACAGTACATATTTTCATAGACTATGAAGGGGCAAAAGCCTGCAGCAATACATTGTTTGGGTGAGTGCAAACAGTTAGTCTGTGGCTATTTTACTTTCCTTTTCTGTTTGTGGTTGCCCTGCAGGCGCACTTTCAATAGACACACCATTGAAGCAGTCCAAACAAGTTGCGGGAGGAAAGAGTCCCATTATTTCTGGAATTGAACTGGAACATGATACCGCAGTTAGAAAACAGTTGGCATTTGGAGAAGAAGGGAGCCCGAACAAGAAGATAGCTCCACCTACGCCATGTGGTGCAAGACCAGCATCTGTTGGTGTCATTGATATCAGTGACAACGAGGATGAACCAAATGATACCCTGCTCCACGTGCCTACTCTTGAAATTCATGCAAGTGGTTTAAGTGATATTGCATTAGAAGGTGCTTTGGGGAAAAATAAAGTGGCTTTAATTTGAAGAGGAAGCTTTTGGACCAGAGCNAAGTGGTTTAAGTGATATTGCATTAGAAGGTGCTTTGGGGAAAAATAAAGTGGCTTTTAACAATAATTTGAAGAGGAAGCTTTTGGACCAGAGTGATGAGGAGGATATGGATGGCTATAGGAGCAATTTCGCATCTGTTTTGACTCCAAAAAGAAAAAAAGCTTCTAATTTTGTTGTTAGTGATAGTGAGAACGATGATGATGATGTTCCAATATATTCTAAGCATACCCAGGAACTAAATACATCTCATATGAGTGGCTACGCGGAGACTGCAACAGATTCTAGAGGCAAAGTTAGGAAATCTGTAGCTAGGCGGCGCCTAGTGCCATTGAGACAAAGTGAAGTGAAAGTTGGTCCAGAAGGCAGCAGATCCCCTAGTAATTTGAAGACCACTGAAATCAAATATCAATCTGGAATCCTTGCAAATGAGGATATTGAATATGATGAAATGGAAGATGATGGATCAGACAGTGAGGGTGAAAGCTTGGGGGGATTTATCGTTGACAATTCGGATGTTTCTGATGGTGATGGTGCTTCTGACAATGATAATTCTTTCGATTGTGATGATGCTTCTCGTGAATTAGAAGATGCATCAGAGAGCAATATGGACCTGGATGAGATTTTATCTCAATTTCGAAGGGATAGAGACCATAGCTTCAAGTGGGAGTTTGAAGCAGATATGCTAGCTGCTTTTGGTAAGGATCTGGAACTATGTATGAAGGCTGTATGTGCTCTTTATCGACAGCAAACATCTGAGGAGAAATTTTGTAGAGGAACAATATACCAAAACCAACGAGGGTTTAGCCAGTGTGATGCACTCAGGTATGGATCTCGAATAAAGTTAAGGTATACATATTTATAGAAATATGAGTATCTGTATGTAGACACACTCCTTTACATTTTATATGATTAATGAGTTACATATTTTGATGTTAACAACTATTTATTGAACACAATTGGGTTTTATTAATTTCCTGATGTAGTCAAAGGTTTGACCTTATTATGTTCATATTTTTTTTTCAGCAATGTGCTACTCTCTTATATTGTGTTTGCTCTGGAGTAAGAATCTCCTTTTTTGTTCTTTTATTGAAAATTTTCTTTCTTAATTTTATTGACAGTTAAAAGTATGAGGATGGGTTCTTTGTTGGATGATATTGAAGTTTGGGTGTATATTTGATTCATTCCTCCTGTAAATCTTGTGCTGGACATTGGCGGAATGTTTTGTTAGTTCACTTGTTTTGTGTATCAGATTCTAGCTCCCTGCATGTAGTGTGATTAACATGGTTGCTGGGGTTCATGTGCTACGTTATTTGCCATTTCCTGCATTCTTAATTGAAAGAATTCGTAACCTGTGGGTGTTTTAATATGCAGAATGAAATGACATGCAATATCATGTAATAAACTTTGCTACGAATTTATTAATGTGCTANATTTGCCATTTCCTGCATTCTTAATTGAAAGAATTCGTAACCTGTGGGTGTTTTAATTTGCAGAATGAAATGACATGCAATATCATGTAATAAACTTTGCTACGAATTTATTAATGTGCTATTCTTGTCTTGGGTCCTCCAGCCCTTCAGTATTTTAGTTGTATTTGTGTTAATATATTTGATAACTGACAGGTTTCTGTTAGTTATATGGCTTATGGTGTATTGAACCTTCTGTATACAATTTTTTAGGGGCACTGCGTTGGCTGAATTTCTTACTGATGGAGACCCAAAAGGTGATCTGAAGAAATCTGTGCATGAGTTGAAAGACAATGATCCCAAATGGATTGAACTATGCAGAACACTGGCGACTCGATACTCTAAGCAGTTATTTGCAATCTACAAGAATAAAGAGGACCCTCTTTTTCTCCCTTCCTGACCTGGCCCCCTCAAGAATTTTTTTTCTTCTTTCAAATTGAAGGCTAGTTAATAGTTCAAGCTCAGTTTCGAGCCCAACCTAGACACAAATATTTTTGCTATAAATATTGTGTCGATAGTAAATTATGGAGATAGTATGGAGTTGGTTTTATGTGTGATCTGCGATGTATCTACTCGTTACCTGTACTTTGACATGAATCTTGTATATATAGCAATACATGTTTCCTTGTTCGAGCTAATCGAAAGGCCCAAAAAAAGAACTTGTTCCTATTTTTGTGGTTCAACGGTCAGGATATTCGGGTCAATTTATGCACATCTCAGTTAATTTTTTCTCTAGTCCGGTCAAAGACAGGTCATTTACGACAGGATTAAGTTATTCATGAAAGATATAAATTTACCATAGTTTGACCTTAAGAGATTGCTAATATTTAAATTCAGGACGTTCGAGTTTACAGTTTATTTGGGTCCTGTTTGTTCTGAGGAGAGAGGATTGGAATCCGAAGGATCCAGGTGATTAGAGATACCTTTGTTCATTAGAATTGAACAGTGGTTTTTATGGCCGTTAATTAAAGTTTCAGAAAAACGTTAGGATAAACTTGAAGAGACATGTTAAAGAGAATCTTTAAAAAACAAAAATAGAAAGAATATATTCCAGTGCTAATCAGTGATTGACGATAGAAAATAGAAGAATCGGTGCTTGCAACGACTGAGCATCAAAACGACATTAACATACATAGACCATAACCAAATAAAAGATAGAGAGACAGAGTGGCCCTTAAGGCAGCAAAACACAGCACAGCCAAAAAGGAACCAACGGTCACATGGGTGTAAGGGTCTCTACATTCATTCACATACAGCCATTTTTCTATGGCCTCCCGTTTTCCTCTCTAAATCTCTCCTCCATTATATAGGCCATATCTCCCCCCAAGTAACTCTGCCTCCTCCCCAATATCTCCTACTACTGCATAGCTTTTGTTTTCTCCCTGTTTTCTCTCTCTAAAACTCTGCACGGCTCTCAGAGGCGTCGCAGAGGGAAAGCTATTTGACCATCAAGGCAATCACAGATAAGTGAGAGAGAGAGAAGAAAATGGAGGTGATCACAAGGGCTTCAATTGGAGTGGTGGCCATTGTTGCCATCATCTTTGCCATTGCTTTCCCTGCAGCTACCATGGCTCAATCTGAAGCCCCGGCTATGGCTCCCACCAGCGACGGTACTTCTCTCACTTTCAAAATGAAAATATAAATATTTCCTAAGAAAAAAAGGACAGTTCAATATACGAAATTGTATCACTAAAATTAAAATTATTTTTGCGAATTCGACAATAAACATGTGGTGGTTTTTTTGTGGCAGGGACAACAATAGACCAAGGGATTGCATACGTGCTAATGCTGGTGGCATTGGTGCTGACATATCTCATTCACTAACTTTCAGATAAAAGCATTTTAGAATTTGATCATCTTGATGAGAGAGAGCTGTAAATTAAGGAAGCCTGCAAAATTTTCAGACCCAGATTTAAGTTAGAGATTTCATTATGAAGTATTGGTTTGTAATAAGGTTTCATCTTAGAATATTATCTCTCTTGTGTGTGACAGTGCTTTTAATTTGCAAATTGTGAGCATTCTCATATTTCTATGGACATTTATCTTCCATATGCATGTACAGTAGCTCCTCAAGCTCATAACAACCTCATTGATAAGAAAACATATCCAACAAATTGGCGTGTCTATATTAATAAGGAGTCTATTAGGAATGGATTCGGATCCACTCCAATACATTTTATCTTTAATTTTTTTTTAACGGATTATTCACCATTAATGAGAGACTCACTTGTATACAATATGTTCTACTTAAATGCATGATAGGCNTTTTAACGGATTATTCACCATTAATGAGAGACTCACTTGTATACAATATGTTCTACTATGATAGGTGATCTGCTAAGAACAAAGTTAAAGAGAAAATGCATTGGAGGAGATCTCAGTCCATTACGAACAAACCTTGTCGACCCAATCTCTGAGTAGTTTGACTTTTTTTATAAATTAACATTCATCAAGGTTGTAAATTGTTGCCATCGCAACCTATCTGATGCAGTGCAAAAGCTTGACAAAGTCCATTACTTCTAAACCAAATAAGCTTAAACGTGAATTCCTAACGGGCTCAAACGAAAATATAATCAAATTGCAACTGCTTGGATGGGATAGAGCCTCATTGCCCACTGACAGAACTTCCTTTGATGAAGCCTGCAATGAGTTAGGTCTCTAATTACACTCCGGATTTAAATCCATATGTCATTGCTCAACATTAATCAATAGCACCCCTAGGGGTGTCCATGGGTCGGATTGCCCACTAGTCCTGTTACTCGATCCGAAGAAAAATAGATTCGAAACCTAATAGATTTGATAGTTGGTCTGCCCTAGCCCGAACCTAATATCCTGCAAAAGAAGACTTTGTCTTACCACAAATCCATTATTTGGCCTGAAACCCGACCCAATAGCCCATCCACAAAAAGCCCATTAAAACCTGGCCCAAGAACCCTTCCGAACATCTTGTCCACCTTTCCTTTGAAAAAAAGGTTAGACATATTAAATTTAAAATTTGAAAAAAATAGATCGGTGGGTAGATGTCAACCTAGTTGGGATGTGATCATTCTATTGTGATGCAATTCCTCTCATTTTGACTATATTTTTAATTCAAAAATATAATTTACAAAAATATAAAGTTAGAAAAATATTTACTATTTATAAATAAAGTTATATATAAAAAAATCTTCCAGTACGCCCACACAACAGGCCCACGCCAACAAACTCGCCCGTAGGCTTGTCCTATGAGTGGCGAGTTGGGCTGCAGGTAGCCTAACCCTATCCAAAGTCTGTCCCTCTCCCCACCTCCCCTCCCCCCCAAAAAAAAAACAAAAAAATAACTTACTTGAGTAAGGATTTGGGCATCCTCTACCCAAGCCTAACTCGAAAGAAAATTTTGTAGGCCGCGCTTGGTCTGGCGCATGGACACCCCTAACCGCCCACTATTAGGCCAACGACAGTCCAATGTTGGACTGTCGTGAGTTTAAACCTCATCAACCCCCTGTACCGTATAGTTTCAAATAGTGAAAAAAAAAAGAACTCAACCCAAATCAACAAATTTTTAATCTCAACTATTTAGGGTCTATTACATGAGCTATGTTTCTCTATTACAGATATATTTTTCCATTTAGACCATGAACTATCATTTTTTTTTCTGATTTCGCTTACCGTAAATCACCAAACAAAAACAGAAATTATATTGGTATATAAACATGCAGTATGGGACGAAGAATGGCAAGACAATATTCGTGTATAAACATGTTTCACTCACCCCCAAAATGCACAATGTTCAGCAGCACACGAAGTGTTGCACAAAGAAGCAAAAATAAATAAATAAATAAGAAAAGAAAACAAGGAATTGCTGTCATTAAAATAGACTGCCCTATGGTAAGACTCTAGGTGTTCTCTTTGGGATTCCGTCGCAAGAACAACTCATTCTATGAAACACTTCCATTTCACATGAAGGACTTGTTGAGGTGTTAAACGAGTCTCACATCAGTTGGTGATGAGAGGTCTTAAACCATATAAGGAAATGGGTCATTCTATTTACTAGGTGCACTTTTTGGGCTAAAAACACGTGTCCAATAAGTAGTATTAGAGTTATGACCCAAGCCACCTTGTGGACTCGGCTCTTTGTGCTAGATGAGACAACATTGTTGATTGTCCATTGTAAGTCTTGTTAGAGAGGGAGATTATTGAGGTGCTAAACGAATCTCACATTGGTTAGTGACGAAAGGGTTCTGAGCCATATAAAGGAATAAGTCACTCCACTTACTAGNGGGAGATTATTGAGGTGCTAAATGAATCTCACATTGATTAGTGACGAAAGGGTTCTGAGCCATATAAAGGAATAAGTCACTCCACTTACTAGCTGTGCCTTTTGAATTGAAAAACCATGCCCAATAGGATTATATGTGGATTGACATATTCAAATTTAATTTTTCTTCATTATATTTTTATTCGGTGGGTGATTACTTGCTATAAATTCAAGACCGACCAATTATTTATAAGTGGATCCTTTATTCATACACGTTAGATAATTTATTGAAATTAAATAAAAATATAATGGAGAAGATGTCAACCCGACTTATTTGAGCCTTCGGATCACCATTTGAATATCAAATCAGAATGCGCTTTTGAATATTTTATCAAACACTAATGCTAATCTGGATTTCCATTAGGTAAGAAGACATATCGGGCCTCCTTACCAGTCCACAACTACCATTTATTTGTCCACGTACAAAGAATGGGCTCCAAAGTGGGCCGACCAACTTCCAGAATAAGCCCAAATGAAGTCCAGTTTGAACATTGATGGGGCAGCCTTGGTTAACTCATTGGGCTTATTTTTTTTCTTGTGTCTTGTCTTCCCTCTAAGCTTTTAATCTGTGGCGGGATCATTATTTTTGTCGCAAAACATGGTTGATAAGAATTATATAGTAGATGATAATCACATTGCTGGGAGCTCAAAATTAAGTACTTAAAGAACAATCCCTAGCAATCCCAAACAACAATGGTAAATGTATTGTATGGGATTGATGTCATGAATAATCAAGTTTATATTACATATAATCTGATTCATCTCTTAGAACGAAACATCTTTAAACTTATTCTCCGTTGTGGAATAGCGTCGATTGTGCATTGGATCTACAAATAGAGTTAAGAATATCAATCTAGTGAAATCCTTCATCTTTTGAAGTGACAAGTTAATTACTTTTTTTTTGTACGAAAGGGTTAATATCCGAGCTTGAGTGATTAGTCGACGCAAGTCTAAACACATTGTAATAAATAAATAAAAAAAGGTTAATCTCAACTTGCGCTCCGAAAGATCACTCAAATATCAATTTATACCCTCAAAATTTAAAAATACCAATTTGTACCCTAAAAGACACAAATTCTTATNGATCACTCAAATATCAATTTATACCCTCAAAATTTAAAAATACCAATTTGTACCCTAAAAGACACAAATTCTTATCAATGTACACCTAGAGCTAACCATCGTCCATTTTGCCGTTAAAAAAATTTGGGCCTAATATAAATTGCACCCTTAAAATTTAAATATTTCACATTTATGATCTAAATAGAATTACATTTATTAATGCTCGTTAAATAATTCTCAATTGTGTCATGTCGTGTCTAACTTTAAATAGAACAT